CCTCCAGGCGGCCCAATGGGGCCCCAAGGTGGCCAAATAGAGCCCGAAGAGAGCCAAGGAGAGCCCAAAACAATCCCAAGAGACCCTCAAGAGGCCACATGAGCGCCACGGGAAACCTCAGAGAGGGCCATGGGAGGCCTCAGGACACTCTCGTGTTCATCGCTTTCCTCCTCCTCCATCGCCCTATCCTCGTTTTCATCCACCGTCTCCGGGATACAGAACGGATGCGCATTTTTCTTGAGGTTTCCTCCTCCTCCTCCTCCTCCTCCTTTTCCGTCCATCCAGCCACGCGCGCGAAAGGAGAGTGTAAGACCGTTCGGGCCCGCTCAGTCTGACCGTGGCGAAGCCTAGCATGACGTAGCATGGCATAGCATGGCGTAGGAATGCGCCGCATAGCATCGCATAGCATCGCGTAGCGTTGACACACATACCAAGTCAGGCCATTGTACTTGTTCATTTTCTCACGCAAGATCCTTGCCGTACGCTTCGGTTCGAGGCTTTCGTTGGTGTCCGCCGCGCGCAAACGGCCAGCCTCCAGCGGCCGTCCCAGCGCAGATACACTGCATTGCACTCGCTGCGATCAAGACGTTCCACGGCTGGACTTCAGCATCCGCCAGCGCAACCGAACTTCCCGCGCATGCCTCGCGTGCACCGCCGGTGCCCCGAAGGCTTCTGGCCTCTCCCGACGCCGACCAGAAGCGCGTTGCATTCGTTGCGGGCTTTCCTTGCCGAATGAGGCCCTCGCGGTCGACCGCGACAGGTCGCATGACAGCATTCGCCGCGAATGGAACGCACTGGGCCGACCACCCCTTCAAGACGTGCCGTTTTCCGTCGGAGAAACGAACCGAACTTGCCCGCATTGCTCAGCGTCTCGAAATGCCCGCCGGTCAACGCAGCCTGCGCGACTCGCTGGGGAATGCCAAGCGGTCAACGCCACCGTTGCCAGGTCGGTCGCGCCAGACTAGCAGGCCTCTCTGCGCGCGAGCCTGCGTGCGCTAGCGCGGCCGCAGCGCTGCACCACCCAGCGCCAAGCGCCAAGCAGTCATCGCAATCACCGCCGCATGGGTTTTGCAAACCAAGTTGCGGGTGGGTGGGCGGGGTGCTTGCGCGAGCAGTGGGGTTGACAACCCCAAGCTCTTCAAGATTAACTGCATCACGTAGGCTGCACCACGTTATGCTGGAACGGGATGTTTGGGGCACACGCTGGCTAACCTACTATATGGCTAACGCGGGGTACCGAAACATCGCGGTGTAAAAAACAATGGTCTTGAACATCCCGCGCCATTGCGTACATGTCCCGCGAAGCCACGAACCCCGCATCGCGTCGCCGCGAAACTTTCGGTGCGCAGATGAGGGACCACCGTCGACCCTCTCACCATCATCGCCACCATTTCCCATCACGTTCCCCTTGCCGCGAGCTCCCACACCAGAATTTTCATTGTTGATTCGGGCGCCCCGGCAAAAATCAGAGTCCGTGACAGGCGCGCGATCCTGGAGGGGCCCGGCAGGATCGCCGAGCAGTGCTCTGCGCTGACCAGGGCTTGCGCTATCGCCTGCTTCGTTGCCGCGTCCGCATCCATCCTGGCCTAGACGACGCAACCGCCACTGAGGTTCGCGGGAACCAATGCGTGCTCGAGCCAAGACAGCGCGGGCTCGAGCCCGTGGCTACGCAACTGGGCCCTCCGATGTATTCGAATGCCCAGCGGGGGGCCAACCATAAACATATGTTTGCGTTCGCTTTGTTACGAACACGTTGCGTGTTAGCCGTGCGGCCGCGATGGTTGTCATCGAGCAAACCCCTCCTTTAATAAAGTGATGCGGCTCCAGGTGAGCCTGTATGTCTGGATTTCCACGAGGAGGTCCTGCCCACACGAACATACCAGGGCCAAGCGCTGGACCCCCTCAACCTCCTTATACACCCTAAGGGTGGCCTCTGATGCAGAAGTGCGACTGCACATGGAATAGCAGGGTGATGCACGGCCTATCGATTCAGGGCGCCAGCTTGCAGTCTAGTTATGGTACGACATCGCCCTCCGTGCCCATGGCAATTTTAGGGGAACGAAGAATGACATAAACATAACAACTCGGAAGTCCGCGCGGACCTCCGAGTTTTTATGTTTATGTCATTCGTCGTTCCCCTAAACTTGGAGTTCTCCGAAACCCGTGGCCGCCTACTATGAGTACCGTTTAACCGATCCCCATCCCCAGCGGCGTGGCCTGGGCCCCACTGGCCGATTTACCCCCCTAGATGGGGATGTAGGTCGTTCTCTTCGGGCTTCGAGGGGTGTATCCCCAACGGGGGTGGTAATCTGGTGGGGTCTCGAAGGGGATGGGGATGGCGATGGGGATCGGTCAAGCGATACCGATACTAACCTATGCTCGATCCTCCACAGGACGAGCGCACGGGGCAACCGCACGGGAAACAGCCGCCTGGGACCAGCCCGCCCGGGCAGCGCGCCCCCGGTCAGGCTGGGCCAGGCCATGCTGGTGGGGACACCACCGAGGGGGCCGCCACCTCTCCCCCAGGAGACGGCCCTCCCTGGACCCCAGTGGGCTCCCAAAGACGCCCCAAGAACGTGCGGAGCCTCCTCCCGCCTCCTCGATCCCTCCTCTTGTTCCTCCTCCTCCTCGATCCCTCCTCTACTCCTTTCCTCCTCCTCCTCCTCCTCCTCCTCCTCCCCCTCCTCCTCCTGCTTTCCTCCTCCTCCTCCTGCTTTCCTCCTCCTCCTTCTCCTTCTCCTTCTCCTTCTCCTCCTTCTCCTCCTCCTCCGCCTCCTCCTCCTCCTCCTCCCCCTCCTCCTCCTCCTCCTCCTCCTCCCCTGGATGTCCCAAGAATGGGGTGGTGCCCTAATTACTGGCACCTGGCCAAGGCCAAGAGTTCACCCTCGCCCCCGCGCAGCCTCGGCCTCGGCGGGGCGGCGAGGGGGGAGGGGCGGACCAGGGCCGACGCCCTGGGTCGGCCTCGTCTCGTGTTGGAGGCCTGGAAATTGGCACCAACACCAGCACAAGGGGTTGCCTCCACAGGGGGAAGAAGATCCTAGATTTCGGTGTTGGTGGTAATATTTCGGTCACCTTGGAAGCCATAATATTACCACCATCACCGAGATCGGGATCGTCTTCCCTCGGTGGAGGCACACCGCCGATCTTGGTGTTGGTGTCAACCTCTAGGCCTGCGATCTTGGCCTCTTCGGCTGGGCTGTGAAAAGGAGAGGGGAGAGCAACGAACGAACGCCGGAAGCGTGCGCGCTCCGCCGGGGAGCCCGCCCGTGACGGGCATGGCGTGGAGGCCGTAGCCTCGAAGGCCCGAGTTAAACTGGAAACTGCGAGCAGCGTGACGCGAGCGTGATGTAAGAGGGACGGGGGAGGTTGGGGGCGGGGGTAAGATGCAACACCACGTCGGCGAATCCCACTGGACCCTCTGGGCTGAGGTGGTCTAGGGCGCTTCCTCTTCCAACTCCCTTACCCAACTTCGGGAAAGGATCTACCCCCCGTCACTCCCTCCCCTGGGTCTTTTAGAGGGTCCAAGATGTCTCCGTAAGGGTCTAAGCTTCCAGGATGGCCCAAGATACAATGAAGATGCTACCACAAGAGGCGCTAGATAGAAGCCTTGACCCTTGTTTGGCCTAAGAGCGCCTTGGTGCAAGAGGAGCGTCAGAGGAGCAACCGTGGAAAGACCTAATTAACAACGAGCCCCTTCGTAGGGAAGCTCGGTGTTACACTACGTCCGCTGGGAGAACATCTTCAAAGACTTGCCAATATCTACCGTCCATGCACGCGCTGCGGATTGATGCGGGTACCTTTCGCCAAAATCCTGAAATCGAGAGATGCCCAACCTTGATCGCCCTTGATTGTGACGCTATATCTCTCAAAATATCGTCTGGATCTAGATTTGGATCCCTTCGGCGCTGTCCATACCACCCAATCCGTACCTTAAGGCCCAACTCGACTGTCAAGAAATGAAAAGTGCGGAAATGTGCAAGCAACACTTCGTAATTCTCAATCGCGCCCGCATCCGGGTACATCACGACCTCACGGGCCTGGACACAAGAAATTGCTGAGATCACCCCCTCTGGCGATCTGTAGAATCGTCCACCGGGCGAACCAACCACGTGAACGTCTAAGCCGACCCGGGCAGCCAAGTGGCGGAACACGTAGGCTTTAAGTCCACCTCCGACGAACACTACTGACTTGGGCAAGATCGCTGATGCAGGGCAATTGAAGAGTGGGTCTTCGCAACCCTCATGCCCAAAAGGCAACTTGAATGACCCGCCGTGGCCCACCCATTTCTGTTTCGGCCCGTCGCTGTCCTTCTCAGAACGGAGCTTAATGTACAACGCGTTGATGAGGCCACTTGGAGCGCGGGCCGGAATCAGAAGTCCCTGTCCAACATAGATGTGCTGGAGGCTAGGGATATCGTCTCTTGTGTCAATAGCAGGAACCTTCATCATGCCGCCCGGCCAAGTTTTCAATCCGATTTCTCGAATTTCTGCAGGCTCGAGTCCGCGGCGCCAGAGATCATCCATGTCGACTGGGGAGACTTGCAACGAGCAGAGGATATCACTGAAGTGTGCGTCCAATACTTGAGCAGCGTCTAGCTCATGCTTGAGGCCTGAGAGGGTATTATTGCAGGGAAACCGCTGAGACGCTGCCCAAGACGTCATCAGTTCGGAGAGCGCCCACATATCAATTTCCGAAAAAGCTGACGCGGATACGCAAATGGTAAGGCTCCGATGCTCTTCAGCCTGCTCTTCTTCCCAACCAACACGGCACTGTGCAGGAATCCATAGCGACACATTGGATGGCACTGCTGTCATGAAGTGAGGGAAGCTGTCTGACTTCACGGACAAGCATCTTGTGATCTGCGAGTAACAAACGTAAAGCGATCTGCAAAGACTATCGCGGGGGCTGGAGTGCGCGGCTTTGCCATATGTCTTGACAAAGACGGCCCGGAGATCCTCCAGGAAACCAAAATTGAAATTCACAACATCATCGTCTCGAACATGTCTGGGTGCTTTCCAAGGTCCTTGCGTCTCCAGTTCTACACTCTCAGCGTAATGCGAAGTCAAGAGTTCAACCTGGGCGCCACGCTTCAATGCCACAGCTGGCCTGTACATGTGCTGCGTGCTAACTTGGAAGGCACAACCCTGATCAATATGATTCTTCATGAATGCCATTCTCCCCCACGTGATGACGGCTGTCAATACATCTCCCTCGCGGAAGAAATCACCATACCTTTGAAGCTTACCTTGGTTCATCTTCCAGCCATGCTGACCGAATCCTGTGGCGGCGTAATACCACCAACCTTGGTAATGAACTCCGGCCGCATCTTCATCACCACTCGCGATCCAACCAATGCGAATCACAGAATCAGGCTCCAGCCGCCGCACCAGCACAGAGAACGTCTGCTTACCGTGTGCCTCTGCACAGGGAGGTGCGATGCAGCCCCACCCCTTGGCAGGGCCACGCCAAATGACGTCGCGAGTGCACTGGTTATCCGCCCGTGCACGAACATAATGATGACCCTCGTGTTTCTGCTCCTCCACGGCCACCGGCACTATCTCAGGCATTTTATGCTCCCAGCAAGCCTGGCACACGTCAAAATCACAAGCCTCGTTGCAGCAGTACGCAGTACCCTGACGCCCACACAGGTTGCAGATGCTATTTATGCGAAGCCTTCTTGCGAGGAGGTGCCGATGGATATGGAAGCATACGAGCCCATCGTCACGCATACACAGGGTGCCGAAGCCTGGCGACTTGTCGACTACACTGCTTGTACCCTGTGTTGACCTGAGAGGCACAGTTCCGTTTCCAGCTGGCTGCGCATCTGTGGCGCTCAGGCCATCACCATGCTCAGATTCTTCGATCGGGTGTGCTGGCCCTGCTTCGAGCGCATTCAAAACTCCAATGGAGACACCATAGCCAGCGTCAAGAACACTCACCCCAACATTGACTTTTGTGAACGTGACTCTGTAAGGCTGGTTGCCAAGCGCGTGCTCGTTGAGAGTGCTTTCGGTGTAGACCCGCCCATTGATCATATGAAATGCCCATCCAACCAACACTCCGGAAACCTGCGCTTGGCTACCGTGCCGCACTTCCACGATCAACCCATCGCTGTCAACTCTAACTCCCAAGCGGCCGGGGCGGAAGACAACATAGCGACTGTCAACCAGCCCCTGCCCATCAGGTGTGAGGAAAGTAATCGTGTAAGGTAAGCCGCCGTTGATGAATTTCTTCAACAGTGTCGCTGTGAACGGATGCCCATCGATATTTCGAATGCGCCAGCCAGCACTGATGCCAGCAATTTGGAACTGGCAACCAGGGAGCACCTTGGTCACGTTTCCCTGACCATCAAATGCTACCCCCAAGCTGCCGGGCTGGAATACCACGCTGCACGCATCCCGACTGCTCTGGAATGCCGTCCCTTGGCGGAAATCGTGCCGCTTGCGCCCAAAACGCCCGCCGCCAGCCATCGCTGTGGGCCACTCTCAACAGTGACTGTGTCCACAAACCTGGAGGCCTCCAGAGTAGGGCCTGAACTTATGTCGGGCGTGTCCCCCTACAGGGGGATTTTCGACGAAAAATAAAGAATACAACAAATACCCCCAAAAGGCAGAAAAAATACTCAAAAATAGTCCCCAGACTATTTTTTAAACTTATTTTTTTACTATTTTTTATTTTTCGTCGAAAATCCCCCTGTAGGGGGACAGGCCCGACTTAAGCCTGAACAGATGGGGCCGCAGGGCCGCGCCGCACCGCCTATGCAACGGCGATGCATCAACGACTCTGGCCTGGGACGGCCGTTCTCTGGATCGCGCAGCCACTCCGATGCATCGGCGATGTGGCGCGATCCCCCGGCCCCATCTGCTCTGGTCCCCTTGAGAAGGGGCCAGGGTAGGTGGGCCCAATTTTGGCGGCCTGGAGAACAGGAGATCTGGTCGGAGGATGGCCAGTTGAGACGACTGCGGCTCTCCCACCTCCGCTCAAGATGCCGGTCCCCAGCCCTCCACACCCCTCCCGGGGTGTGTGGTCCATCCTGGCAAGCTCCTCGAGGCGGATCCAGCCGTGGCGACGAGAGAAGCCCCCAGGGGGCCCCGCGAGGGTCGAAACTCGCCGTGGACGACCGCGTCGCTGTCTCAATTTCGGCTATACGCAAGAGTGACCCTGGGTAAGAGTGACCTTTGGTGCGCGGCTTTTTGGGGGCCGCGGGGGGACAAAATCTGGGCGCGCAACCAGCTGCCACTGCTTCGTTTTCAGCTATCTGGGGACCCATCTGTGCCCGCACCAGAGGTCACTCCTGCGAAAGGTCACTCTTACGTCGCTGTCTCGATTGGCCCTCCTCCGATCTGGAGCCAGACCGACCCCTGCTCGGAGAGCTCGAGCCAGAGCAGCCGCCAAGCCCCCGTGGCGCGATGCCTCGCCCCGCGAGGCCTAAGTCGGGCCTGTCCCCCTACAGGGGGATCTTGGAGGAAAGATAAAAGCTACTACCCCCCAAAATGCCCCCCAATGGTCACGAATCATCAGAAAATCGTCCCCAGACAATCTGTGACTGTTGGGGCACATGGTATCCCTCCTGTGGAGGGACCGTAGAGGCCTCCTAGATGGGGTCCGAGCAGATGGGGTCGAAGGGACGCGCCGCATCGCCAATGCATCGCCAATGCATTGCCGATGCATCGGCGATGCATCGGCGACGTCGGCGATGCGTCGGCGTCGTCGACGTGAAGCAACTCGAGCACCACATCGAGCCGCATCGGCGATGCATCGGCGATGCGGCGCGATCCTCCGACCCCATCTACTCCGACCCCATCCAGGAGGCCTAGAGACCGGCCCGCCTTCACGCGAGGCCTCGGCAGCGCGGGGCCCGGCGCCCGAGGCGCCGCGGCGCGCCGCGCCCGCGGAGGCCCGGGCCCGCCCGGGCCGCCCGCGGCCGGGGCCGCGGCCGGGGCCGCGGCGAGGCTGCGGTTAAGTCGGGCGTGTCCCCCCTACAGGGGGATTCTCGACGACAAATTAGCATTTTCGACGACAAATTAACATTCGAGGGGGATGTTCGACGAAAAGTAAACATTTCTTTTGGGCATTCTTTTAAATTTTCGTCGAAGCTCCCCCTGTAGGGGGGGCACGCCCGACCTGAGGCCGCGGGGAGTGACGCCGGGCGCCCTGCGGCGAGGGGCGCGCCGCGGGCCGAGGCGGCCCCCCCTGGCCCGCCTGCTGCGGCGGCAGGCCGCACCCCTGCGGGAGGGGTGCGGCCGGCATCCCATGACCCCCTCGAGCAGTGAAGAAGTCACGGCGGGAGGTTTGCTTTTCACCATTTCCAGCCCCTGGGGGCCCTCCTCATCGGGCCTCAGGACCGTCGAAAAAGAACTCAGGGCGAGAAGCCGGTCCCGGGGAACAGGTCGAGACCTCTGGGGGTCGGCGTCATGAAACATCTCATGACGTCGGGGGTCTGGGATGGGGAACGGGAGTGGGAACGGGTGTGGCCTGCACGGGGTGTGGCTATACACCCCTTCGGAAGGGGTGTGGCCTGCGCGCGAAGGTGGCCGCACCCAGTCGGAATGGGGAAGGGGGAAGGGGGAGGGGGAATGGGAAAGGGCCATTCCCACTCCTATGCCCCACCCCCGACCCTCGGCTACGAGCCCGGGGGGGAGTGAGAAGGGAGCGTTCCTTCTCAGATGGCTCAGAAGTCGTCGAGCCCTGTGAGACAAGTTTTCGAAGCCTTCCCCGGCAGCGAACTTCTCAGACGGCGCGATGGTTTCTGAGAAGCCCCGCCGTCTTCTGAGAAGGCCTTCTCCTTCTCACTTCCCCCCCCGCTCGCCGCCGACGCTCCCATTCCCCAACCCCCACCCGTCGGGTGCTGCCGGGTGTGGCCCTGGCCGCGGGTGGCCCACGACGTCTCTGGGGAGGTCTGGGTAGTCTCCACGGCACCCTTCACGCGGCCCATGTGGGCCCCATCGGGACGCCGAGCGGCGCCCGAGGATGTTGGGCACCTTCGGGCCCAAACTTACGAAACGCGAGCGACAGAAACATCTCCTCTCGCCAGCATGGGGGACGCGGTTCCTGAGGGAAGCGGGTCCTGGACCCTGGGGCCGCCCCCCAGAGCGAGACCTTCACCCCAAGTCGTTCTGTGACGGCCACGGGGCCCGTGGAGGGCCCCGAGAACCCGAAAACAGCGAAGCACCTCAGCACAACCCGTTCTCCTCAGGACCCACTCCCCCCCCTCGCCAGCGCTCGGGCGTCCATTTCACGTGCAGTTTTCGATTTCGTGCGCTGATTTTTCTCAAGATGATCCAGGATGCTCCTCGATGGCCCTCGCCGAGAAAAAAGGCACACGTCCGAGCGATGCCAAGCCCATGACGACCTCCGATGCCCGCAGCTGCCCTCGCCGGCGCCCGGCGGAGGGCCCCGGAGTGCCGCCGCATCCCTCGGCCTGGCCTCGTCCTGCCGTCGACCGGGGCCGCGGCCCCCCTCTCGGGTCGGACGGACTGGGGCGACTACGGTCGGGCTCCTGCAATAAGGAACGATCAATGAGGAACGAAGCCCCTTTGTGGCCCAACAAGCGCCTGCGTGAAAAGGGGGGCTATGGGAACAGCCACGGAAGGACATTAAGGAACATCGAGCCCCTTTGAAACCCAACTGTTCCTTCTTTCAGCGTCTTGACTGACCGTCGCCGCGCCACTTGTTCTGAACGCGCCCAGATGGACGACGCCGACAGCACGGCAACCACACGGCAAGCCCTGCGTCCCACGCCCCAAGGAGACGACACCGGCATCGCGGCGCACCCACGGCGAATCCGCCGCGAGCCGGAATAAACGGCACGGCGATATACCAAAGGGCGGGTCAAGGAATCAGCTGCGTGCAGCCGGTCCCCGGGGGGTCCAAGACGATGCGGCGACAAACGGTGCGGAGACGTCGAGATCCGCACGGTCCGTCACCGCACGGACTTGGGACCCTGCAGCCCCCAGCTGCCCGAGACAAACTCGGAGAGTGACCCAGGCCCCAGCTGGCCACCCACCGAACCCCCACCGCTCGAGGGCCCGCGCGGTGTGGTCGCCACGCCGTCCGAGGGCCCCCGAGAACCAGCAGCCGGCTCTCCCAGCGCCTTTCGGCGCCAGCTGCGGCCCTCGTGCAGAGCAGGGTGCGCCCGCCGGCGGGGCGGACCCATGTCGTCTGGTCTGGCTCTGGCCGCCGAGGCTCTCCTCCTCCTCCTCCTCCTCCTCCTCCTCCTCCTCCTCCCCCTCCTCCTCCTCCTCCTCCTCCTCCTCCTCCTCCTCCTCCTCCTCCTCCTCCTCCTTCTCACGCACAGTCGACGTGCTACCACCAAGGGCGCTGAATAAGGACCGACGGGGCTTGTTTTTTGCCCCGGCGAGAGCCTCGGCCACGAACGGGCTCCCCGACCAGCAGTTGGGGATCGGCCCGAGACGCCAGAGCTCCTGCTGAGCCCCGCGTGGTCCTCGTTCCAGCGTCTTGACTGGAGCCTCGTGCCTCGCGCCGCGCCAGCATTTGGGGAACGGCCCGAGAAGTCAGAGCTCCTGCTGAGCCCAGCGTGGTCCTCGTTCCAGCGTCTTGACTGGAGCCTCGTGCCCCGCGCCGTGCGAAGCGCGAGGCGCGGCTGGAGAAGAGTGCTTCTGCAGCCCACACCGCGGAGCTCCATGCGCGATCCCCCTCGCGCCAAGCGTCTCTATGATTAGCGGACACAAAGGAGTCTTGGTCTTGGGCTCTCGATTCCGCAAGGCCAATTGGCATCGAAACAGGAAGTCGGATCGAATCGGAATGTCCGTCGGATCGGCTTGCATCGGCACGGAATCGAAACCGAATCGGATCGCTTGCGTCACCATGCGAAACAACGCCATGCAAACATCGGGACGCATTGGATCGCTGGAGCGTCGGAACTGGATTGGGCCGAGCCGGCTGGAATCGATACCGATTCGGACCGATCGGATCGAAATTGACTCTGCCAGGGGTAAGTCGGTTTGCTGGCCATAGCTCGGGTCTTTGGCGGCCGTTCGGGAAGATCCAGGCACCCCTGGAACGCTCTCGGCGAGGCGTACCTGCTGGCAAGCATCCCGTGGAGACAAGGCCTGTGAGAACCAACGACAAACTCCCGAACACCGCCAAACAAAAACTTACGAAAACCTCGCAGTGCGCTTCCAAGCCCGACTACAGCCGCTCTGAGGCGACACCTCCGCTGCCGCACGGCCGTGCCGCGAGAGACATCGGCGAGGAGGGCACCGCCTCAGTGGTGCTGCTGTCGGTGCTCTGGCGCTGCTCGGAGATGCAGGCGGTGCTTGTCTTGCAGCTCTCGGAACGGCCTCGAGAGCAGAATAATGAAGAACAGCAAGAGGAACACACAGAGCAAACGCATGTTAACAAGCATCACCATACAAACAAAAACATGATCATGCTTAATCTGAATGCCACTCGCAATCGTACCACTAGCACTTACCACACATTTAGCATGACGGATCCGATGACGCGTAACAGCAATACTGTGAACATCAATAGCGCTATCAATGATAATGCAACGGTTAATGGTGATATCATGTGGGTGATACTAGGGGAACAACAAGTGACATAAACATGAGAACTCGGAGGTCCGCGCGGATTTCTCGGATCGGCGCTGGATCCCCCTCCCTGGCGCGCGGAGCGCGCCGGGGACGGCGCCGGAGGCGCCGCCCGGGGGCCCCAGCGCCGATCCGAGAAATCCGCGCGGACCTCCGGGTTTTTATGTGTATGTTACTTTTTGTTCCCCGAGATACGGTTGATAATGCACAACATCATTACCACAACCTTTCGGAAGTCCGCGCGGATCCCTCTGCTCAGCGCTGGACCCTCCCCCCTGGCGGCGCCTCCGAGGCGCCGTCCCTGGCGCGCTCCGCGCGTCCAGGAGAGGGGTCCAGCGCCGATCCGAACTATCCGCGCCGACCTCTGGAAGCCCACGCGTGCCGTTGCCATATCTCGGCGGTGGACAAACTCCCATATTTTCCTGGGAATCGACGATGAATTGTGTCTGTGTGTTTTTTCCCTTCCAGAGTCCACTTGACAGCGGGCTCTCACTGTCAAGGTGGCGATGGGAACCAAGTTTTCCCGCCTCGGCCTGGCCCCCTCCCGAGTGCCCATTTCGGCCGTGGACAAACCTCCCTTTAGTGAAAACGGCCTGGGACCGAAACCGACGGGCCTGGACCCGCGAAAGTGACGGCCGCGACGCCCTCTCGCGAACCGAAAACGGCCGATTCCTTAATCGACGTGTCAGGGTAGGAGGTCTGTCCAGCCCCGAATTTCTTCGAAGGGTGGGGGGGCGACGCTCCGCCGTTGGCGGCGGCGCGAACTGCGTCGGGCTCTTCTTCCACTCGGCACTGGGGGCGAGGGCCTCTCCGACGCGCCGCTGGCCGCAACCGCCAGCGGCTGTGCATACCGCAGAAAGCGCAAGATGCGTCCGCGCCTCGCGCGTGCACCCTGTCTGGTCCTGGTCGGCGAGGAGGTGTACAATCGAACACGAGCCAGAAGAACAGCCTCTTTAACAACATGGGGCCCTCCGTCAGCCAACACTAGCAGAACATCCAAGGGCACCCTCCCCAGGATGCACAGAAAGCACATCCAACGAGCACAAAGAACTTCAGGGTGCCCTCCCTGAGCCGACCTCGATCTTGTACGTCGGCCCAGCTGTATTCAGGAGCCCGTGCTCTGCAGGGCCAGCGGCGCACGCGGGGGACGAGGAAGGAGGAAGAGGGAGGCGAGCGACAGGTGCGGAAAGGAGGTGCCGGCTCTGGAGGCGGAGGTCGTCTTGGACTCGGCGACACGTCGCCGGCAGATCGGCGACGGGCGCCCGATGGTGAAGCCGCGTGCTCTTGGGCAAGGTGGGGCATCCGAGCCCAAGTCGGCGATGCATGGGCGATGGAAGGGCCGGCGCGCTCCCCTCCCCGTTGGCGGCGCGAGCGCAGGGGAGCTCCGCGAGGGGGGCGGCCCTCTGAGAAGTCGCAAGGGGCTGCTGAGGAGGCAGGGGCCCTTCGGAAGCCCCTCCTGGCTTCTCCTCCTCCTCCTCCTCCCCCTCCTCCTCCTCCTCCTCCTCCTCCTCCTCCACCTATTCCTCCTCCTCCTCCTTCTCCTCCTCCTCCTCCTCCTCCTCCTTGGACGCTCCCAGGCCGTTTCGCCCGTGCTCAAAGAATTCGGGGCCAAAGAATTCGTGCAAACAAGACTTCTTGGGGACCAAAAAAAGATCTCTGGCCCCCAAGACTATCACGGGTCGATCCGGCGATGGAAATTCAGCAGACAGACATTCTGGTCTAGGGCCCGGGCCGTGACTCCGCACGATGCTGTATCTGCTTTGCGATGTCCTGTCTCAAGGCCACTGGGACCGGCTCAGGGGGGGAACAATCGAGGTGGAGTCGGCGATACATCGCCGATCCGCCACCTGACTTACGCACATTGAGGCGCTAAGCGCTTATTTGAAGAATGCAAAAGACTGCCTAGCAGGGTTTGTATTATGATAAGGCCCCCCCCCTCTACCCGCACTGTCCGCATGCATCGCCCCCTTCTCCCGAGGCCAAGATGGCCCCAAGGCGGCCCAAGATGGCCTCACGACGGCCCGGGATGCCTCCGAGAGGCCCCCACCTGGGCCCGCAGAAGCCCACATGATCAACTTCCCATGGGTGATTGAAGGATCTTCGCATTCTCGGCCTCTCGGCCTTCCGTCAGCCCGAGATGACCCAAGAAGCCTCCAAGATGGTCTCAAGAGGCCCCTTACGAGAGCCCCAAGATAGCCCACGAGGACTCCATAGTTCATAGCCCAGGAGGCCTCCGAAGACGGCCCCAAACTGGCTGTAGAGGACCTCGGGAGCGGGAGCCCACACGGCCTCAGAGGGCCCCTCATCGACACAGGACGGCAGCAAGAGGACCCCACGGCCACGGTCCCAAAACACGCTCCATGCGGCCAGTTGGGCCCCAGACGGCCCAAGCGAGCCCCAAGACGGTCTAGGAGGGCCCCAAGACGGCCCAAGAGGGCCCCAAGGGACCCCCCAGGACTGCCCCGCAGGAGCCCAGGCCAGCCTCGGGACGGCCCAAATGAGGTCCATGAAAGCTCCCAGAGAAGTGAAGACGAAAGGTGTCACAAGTGACGTCCATCCTCTTCTTCTCAATCCTCCTGCTCCTCCTACTGCTTCTTGTCTCTTGTCATCCTTGTCCTCATCATCATCCTTATCCTCATCCTCATCCTCATCCTCATCCTCATCCTCCTCCTCCTCCTTCTCCTCCACATCCTCCTTCTTCTCCTCATCATCATCACCACCACCTTTCTCACCCACATCCTCTTCCTCGTTATCATCCTACTCATAATCATAATCGTCATCAACATCATCCGCATCATCATCATCATCATCATCATCATCATCATCATCGTCGTCGTCATCATCACCGTCATCATCATCATCATCATCATCATCATCATCATCATCATCATCATCATCGGCATCATCATCATCATCATCATCATCGCCAGCATCACCACCACCACCACCATCACCATCATCATCAACATCATCACCATCAGCACCATCATCATCAACTCATCAACATCAACATCATCATCATCAGTATCACAACCATCATCATGCATTTACCATCATCATCACCACTATCCTCGTCCTCGTTCTCCTCCTTCTCATCATCATCGCCAGCACCGTCATCACCCTCACCATGCTATTCATCTTCATCGTCTGCCACAAGCATCCTCATCCTCTCCTTGTCCCTTTTATCATCTCATCGTTATCGTCATCGTCATCATCATCATCATCATCATCATCATCATCATCATCATCATCATCATCATCGTCATCATCATCATCATCATCATCATCATCATCATCATCATCATCATCATCCTCATCGATTCGAACAGCTACGCCGAGACTGCTGGACTGGCACGGTGGCGGGAATTGCCGCAAACAGCTGGATAGATCGGCGAGAGGCCTTTGTTACCGAAGCCGCGCGCTCCTGGGCGGGGCGGGCTATCGGGCCCCTATCGGCGATGAAAGGGCGATTGGGGGCCGATGCATTGCCCCCTGAATCTATATCTTCTGAACGTTGCCCCTTGGTTTCTGGGTCATAACTCGGCTCTCTGGCGGCCGTTCGGGACGATCTGGTCACCCCCGCCACGGTCTCGGCGAGGCGGCCGCTGCAACTCATCCCGAGATGGAAAAACCGCCAGAAGCGTACGAAAACGCCCGAAAACCTCTATCCCTCTCGCATCGATTCCTCGAAAGCCGTGCCCCCCCCTGGGCCACCCTGACGTCGCCCCTGACGGCCGCCGACCTCCGACCCCCTGGGCCTATCCCCCTCTGGCGTTGCCCCTGACCTCCCGTCTCGTCCACCCCTGGAGGCCTTTCGAGCCCGTGTCCTGCAGGTTCCAGGCACACTCGTACGCCATCATGGCGCCTCGGGGGCGCGGCGCTGCCGATGGCAGCGGCAGCACCGGCGCCCGAGCGCGGGAGAAGCCGCCACAGCCGCTGCCGCTACCGCTGCTTTGTTTTTCGACACCCACAGGAGGAGGAGAAAGAGGAGGAGGAGGAGGAGGAGGAGGAGGAGGAGGAGGAGGAGGAGGAGGAGGAGGAGGAGGAGGAGGAGGAGGAGGAGGAGCCGCTTCACAGGTGGCCAACACCATCCAGATCTATTCGCGCCCCCGACCTCTTGGGGCGGAGGCCGTGGCAGGGCCTGGGCCCAACCTTCCTGCGCCGAGCACTGCCCGCAAACCAAGGCTTGGTGTCCTCGTCTGGGTCCGAACTCCAGCCATAAATCGGTGCGAGCAGGGAGAGGGGGGCAGTGGGAATGGGGAGCGGGGAGCTTGAGCACCAGGAGGCGGAGGAGGTGGTCGGTGTCTCCTTTCGGGCGCGCGCTAACCTAGATTACGGATCGGGGAAGATGCATACGAAACACGAGGCCAATGTCCGCCTGAGCTGGCGACGGAGCGTGCCGATTTCTTATGGGAACGGGACCCGTCGCTAATCCAGGCACCCGAACCCGTGTTTGCGCTTCCTCGACCCTTCTTTTCTTACCTCCGTCGTTCTCTTCCCCCCCCCCTTGCGAAGTCCAGGGCAGGGGCCATCGAGGGCCCCGGGTGTTCACCAAGCCGACCCTCAGCGACGCCGACAAGCGGAGAATGACGGGGTGGGTGGGGAAACGAAAAGGTACCGATACCGCTACTCCCTGGACCTCTCCTGGGGTGCGTTCTGACCAGAATTCCGAGGCGAATCCAACGGTGGCGACGAGGGCCTCCGAGGAGGCCCCAAAAGGAGAAAACGGGCGAGGGGGTAGAGGTATGGGTACCTTTTCCTCCTCTGAGTGGGAGGATGAGAGCCGAGGCGACTCCCGGTTCGCCTGTGAGGGCGGCCGCGCTCTTCGAGGCCTCCCAGCTGGCGTCGCCGGAGCAGCCGGGTTCGGAATAAATCGAGCCGCCTCGCCGACAAAATCACAGATGCATCGTCGAGGCATCGACGACGTCGGCGATGCGTCAGCCACCTCGGCGTGGGGACGGCCGGGCTCCGTGTCGAGCCGCATCGCCGACTCCTCGGCGATGGGCTCCGTAAGGGCTGGGAAGGGGCGCCAGGACGCTGCTCATTCAGGCGCCGGACGGGAGGGGTGGGAAAACCACCCCTGCCCCCCCCCCCGACAAATCGGCCAGACGCAAGAGCGACCCTGGGCAAGAGTCACCTTTGGGGGGGGGCGCAAGATGGCCAAATCTGGGCGCGCAAGCCGCTGCTACCGCTTCGCGTCCAGAGATCGGGGGACCCCCATGGGCCCGCACCAAAGGCCACTCGGGCGAAAGGTCACTTTTACGTGTAGTCGACCCCCCCCCCCCCCCTACAAAACCAGATCCCTCGGATCCCCTGGTCCCGGAGACCCCCTGGACGCCCCTTCAGAAGGTCCCCTCGGCCTTCCGGGCCTCCTGGACGCTGCTGCTCGGCCTTGCCAAGGGGGACCGCTTCCAATGGTGTCCAGGGGGCCCCAAAGCCGCGGATACTAGGAAATCCAGTTATTTTTTTTTGAGGTGGGGGAGGGTTTCCCCCGCCCCCCCGGCTTGAAAACATCTTCGGACATGTGTCTACATATGCTATATATATATATATATATATATATATATATATATATATATATATATGATGTAGTCGTCTCGTCCTCCAAGTGTGGCCACGAACTGCTGTCCGACGAAGGGTAGAGGGGGGGAGGACGGGGGAAGGAAGAAGAGTCGGGCCGGTCGGAAGGGAAGGTAGTCAAGGAGGCTTGATTCGCGAGTGCGCTGGCACAGCTGGTCTTCTTGGCGCCTCCTGACGCCACAGTGTCGAGGAACACACCCCTGGCAATTGGGCAGGGGAGGCCCCCTGGACCAACGTGCGTGCCTGGCACCCGCCTCTGCCACTTCGGGCCGGTACAATGATGATCCTGCTGTAGCATGGGGCGCCGAGCAGGGGAGAGAACCGGCTCCCCTGGCCACGGCGGCGGGCCTCAGCAACGGCAGAAACCTCTCCGACCTGGACCCAAAGAACGGCCCGGAACCCCCTCCTCCTCCTCCTCCTCCTCCTCCTCCTCCCTCCTCCTCGACCCTCTCCTCCTCCTCCTCCTCCTCTCCTCCTCCTCCTCCTCCTCCTCCTCCTCCTCCTCCTCCCTCCCTCCTCCTCCCCTCCTCCTCCTCCTCCTCCTCCTCCTCCTCCTCCCCCTCCTCCTCCTCCTCCTCCTCCTCCTCCTCCTCCTCCTCAGCCCTCTCCTCCTCCTCCTCCTCCTCCTCCTCCTCCTCCTCCTCCTCCTCCTCAAGGCCCCTGCTGAGACCCAACCTGGTTCTTGTGTCAACGCGTTGCCTGTACCGGGGCCGGGGGAGGGCCCCAGCCGCGCCACTGGCGGGCAGGCGTGCCGGGCGGCTCGCACCAGACCTGCGACGGGCGACCCGCGTTGTGCGTTCGGCCTGTGAGCGCTCTGCGCCCGCCTGACGTTGCAGCCTCACTGGGCTAACGATCACCATCACCACCGCCATCACCACGATCGCCAGCATTACCGCCACCACCACCACCAGCGCTATCACCACCGCCGCCATCAGCATCATCGTCAGCACCATCATGATCATCGTGATCATCAGGATCATCAGGATCATCATCATCATCATCATCATCATCATCATGATCATGATCATGATCATCATCATCATCAGCACCATCATCATCATCATCATCATCATCAGCATCTGCACCATCAGCAACAGCAGCATCATCATCACCATCACCACCTTCATCATCATCACCACCACCATCATCATCATATCCACCATCATCATCGCCATTACCATCATCAACATCATCATCACAATCATCACCATCATCATCATCAGCAGCATCATCACCATCATCATCATCATCAACACAACCACCACCACCATCACAACAGCCACCATCACCAGCATCATCATCACCATCATCATCATGAGCATCATCATCACCATCATCATCAACATCATCATCACCATCATCATCACCACCACAGCAACCACCACCACTATCATCATCAGCATCAGCATCATCATCACCATCACCAACTGCACCATTATCATCCTCATGACCACCATCACTATCATCATCAGCAGCAGCATCACCACCATCATCAACAACATCAACATCAATAGCACCATCATCACCATCACCATCACAAACACTACCATTACAATTATGAGTATGAATGTGATGATGATTCTGATCATCATTATCATAGTTGCTATTCGTTTTATTACTACTACTTTTATTCTTACAACTATCACCGCCATCATCACTATCCCCCTCTCCCGATGTCCTCCTCGTCCCTGCGAATCCATCGACGTCGTGTTTCATCGTAGCGTGACCCCTGGAGGTCCAGAGTGATTGCTTGGGACCAGCTCTCCATCCCAGGTCATTCTCTGACGGCCCCACGGCTCGGCAAGGGCCCAGAAGGGCCGAAAATGATGACAAACCTCTTGGAATGTTCTCTTCACGACGCGGGGGGTTCGGTTCTCGGGCTACGACTCGGGGCTGCGGCGGCTCTTTGGGACGATCCAGGCACCCCCAGAATGCCCTCGGCGAGGCGCAGCTGCGGCCGAACATTCCGAGGCGAGAAAATCTCCAGGAACCTGCGATCAGCTTCCGAAGACATCCGGTGGGGCTGGGCGTAGCTGCTGGCACGCACCCCGAAGCGAAAGAGAAATCTCCGAGAACCTGCGACAGCATCACAAACACCATCCGAGGAAGTGCGGGCGGCGCCGCCGAAGATCCCGCTGGGCGGCTCTGACTTGGGGCGGCCGGGCGCCCGCGAGGCGGCGGCGGGTGCGGGGGCGTGCGGCGCCGAAGTCGCGCCGGTGCTGGTAGCCCGGGGACGACTGCGGGCTCTCGCGGGGGTAGCCTTGCGCGTGGCGTGATTCGGCTACACTTCGGTCGGGCGTGCCCCCCTGCAGGCGGATCTTGGACGACAAATAAAACATAGAAAAAAAGAAGTTCGAAAACTTTCAAAGATGGTGGAAGAATCGTCCCGACACTTTTTTTTGTGTTTGGAATATTCCTCCTGTAGAGGGACAGGCCCGACTTCAGGCTACACGCAGAAACGTCCCTGCGCAAAAGTGGCCTTTGGTGCGCGGCCCCAGGGGGCCGAGGGAGGGTCGCACCCAAGCGCGCCAGCCGATGCTGGCGGGACACCTGTGGCTCCCCACGATAGGTCACGCCGTGGAGTGGTCGCTTCTGCGCGAAGCAAAGGTATGGTTAGGTCGGGCAGGTCCTCCTACAGGCAGATTTTTGACGAAACATTAAGAATAGCATGAACATATTCCAAAATGGTCAAACATAGTAGAAAAAAACATCCCCAGACGATTTTTCGATTATTTTTGAATTTGCCTCCTGTAGAGGGACGTGCCCGACTTAAAAGTATGGGTGAAATGGGGGAGCTTGGGGGTGGGGGCGAGGAGCAGGATCAGAAGAGGAGATCATACCGCTGCCGCTGTTCTTCCCTCGTCATCGAGGCTGGATCCGCCTCGACATCCTGGGCCGGGCGCGCACCCAGAGAGGTCCACACAATGGCGGCATTTTATATACACATATGTTACATACATGTCTACCCCTAGGAGAGGGTAGATGGGGAATGGGGGCGGTTCGCGGAGCAGGGGGCGAGAGAAGGGGGGCGGGGCAATGGAATGAGGAAGGGTGGGAGTGGTGAAGGGTGGGAGGAAGCAGGGAAGGGGGATTCGATGAAGGTCGGGCCCTTCGAAACTTGCCCTTCATGTGCAATTTGATGTTCCTCTCCCTCTCTCTCTCTCCCTCTCTCTCACTCTCTCCCTCACTCTCTCACTCTCTCTCTCGCTCTCTCTTCCCCCTCTCTCTCTCTCTCTCTCTCTCTCTCTCTTTCTCTCCCCCAATATCTCTCCGCCCC